CTTTCTTTCTTTCTTTCTTTCTTTCTTTCTTTCTTTCTTTCTTTCTTTCTTAGACAGGATTTCACTATCTCTACCTAACTGGACTGTAGACCCAGTCTCAAACTCCAAGTGATCCTCCTATTGCTGAGATAAGTGTTATGCCCAGTTCACGAGACCCCCCAAGACACCACCAGGGACCCCAAATCAGATGCAAGTACATGACAGTCTTTATTCAAGCTTGAGCTTGGGCCACAAACCTTCCTGATGGAACAGGAGAGTGACCCCCAGCTCTAGGTGAAGGGGGGTTATGAAAGAAAAAATGGCAACCGTGAGTTTCAAAGCCTTGGCATTACATGAGAGGGTAAAGGAATGTTGGTCTCTTTCCCAGAGCCCAAGGGTAGGGGTCACATCACTTCAAGGACAGCGGTCAGTAGCTTTTTCCAAGGACAGCAGCTTAAAACAGAGTTTATTCTGCTACCTCAGTCCCTTCAAAAGGTGTGCACACCACTCCTGGCCTCTGTTTTTGCTTAGAGCTAGTGTCTAACTTGCCTAGGCTGGCTTTGAACTTGCCTCTCTTCCAAGTAGCAGCTGAGACTATAGGAGTTTGTAGTTACAGCCCCCTTGGCTATTTACTTTCTCGTTGAATAAAAGGCCACCTTATACTGTTTCTTGCACTTAGCACAGGCCCTTCCTGGGCACAAAATTGGGTTGGTGAAATTTAGGAGTAAGGACAGGCCCTATCCTCATGCAAGGTACCTTCTCTTACATCGCTGTATCATAAGCAGCACCAAGGCATCTGCCCTTCACATGACCCCGGCTCCTAAAAGATACTTTGATAGCTGTCACCAGGGAGAGACTGGATTTTCTCCCTGTTTATTGGTCAGTTTAGCACCTTGGAGAGAAGTCCTTGTTACTACCCGAGAGAACGAGAGCCCATTGGCCAGGACACCTCACAATGCCCTAGTAGCGCTAAGAGTTCTTGTGATTGGCTGGCGACTATTCTCCAAGAGCCTATGGCCTGGAACTGAATTTTGCTGCCTGGCACCAGGAGTCTCGGAGCTCCTTCTGACGCGGCTCCTCATTGGCTGTCGTGGTGCAAAGCCTTGGAGAATGTGCACCTAGTCCCGCTGGAGGGCGACCGCACCTAGAGCAAGGTCCAGAAGCTCGACGACGACGACGACGACGACGACGACGACGTTGTCGAGGTTGAGGAACGAAGAAGGCCTCTTGACCAGGAGAGGACTCATTTTTCCCTGAAGATCTGTTCTGTATCTCTGCTCTTGTTTCTCTTGGAGCTCCGCATCTCTGCCTGGACAGAATCCTGAAAGTAAGTCTCTCGTATGTGTGAGACCTTCTTAGGGATGGCCGAATGAGGGGGTGCCTAGCTCCTATGTCTCTGGTTATCTTCTAATTCAATTCCAATAGTTGGTCGTCTTACTAATTGGGCTTTCTGCATCCACATCTACCACACCCCCCCCATCCAAATTCCTACTCTTCAATGGTGCTGGAAATCTCGTGTTCTCAAGAATTCGGATTGAGATCCAAACGGGATTGGTGCAGAGCGTGAATCCCAGAGCGAAGATGTTCTACTATCCTAATGTGCTTCAGCGCCACACAGGCTGCTTTGCCACTATCTGGTGAGCACAGGGCTGATGGCTATGCCAGGAGCCGGGTAGTGGGATCTCACGTTGACGAGCTGTACCTGTCCCCACCCTTCCAGGCTTGCAGCAACCCGAGGCAGCCGTTTGGTGAAGCGTGAATATCTAAAAGTGAACGTGGTAAAGACCTGGTAAGATCCAGAAAAGAGGGAGGAATCTCTGGTTTGGGGCTTCCGGTTTTTTGAGTGTTGCATTGATCAGGGCTTCTTATTCTTCCAGTGAGGAAATCCTCAAATATGTGCTGGTAAGAGTGCAATCTCCGACGCCAGGGCTGCCCCGGCCCCGCTTCTCCCTCTATCTCTCTGCCCAGCTTCAGATTGGTGTGATAAGGGTCTACTTTCAACAGTGCCAGTACCTCGTGGGTAAGACTAGAGACTCTAGAGGTGAGCTAGAGCTGAAGGACCCATGGCTAGGTTGTTTATTTTACTGTTCTCACCTACAGAAGACATCCAGCATATCCTAGAGCACCTGCACCGCGCCCAGCTGCGGATTCGCATCGATATGGAGGAGGCTGACTTGTGAGGCCCTGGAACTGAGGCCACCCATACCAAGCTGCTTGGCCTCGGCCTTGTTTTGTTGTTTTAAGCATTTCCTGGGCATGCGTGCAGTGTGTGTGTGTGGGGGGCAGGGATGGGAGAGGGCATTGTATGCATGTGGGGGTCAGAGGACAACCAATAAAGTGGGCTCATTAGTTCAAATTCAGGGATGAAGTTAGGGACTGTGGGTTTACCAGCTGAGCCGTCCCACCCACCCTCAGCCTCTGTCCTTTATATCCCTTGTTTTCTCTCAGACCCAACTTGCTTCTTCCAAACTGCCTGGCCATGATGGAGACGCTGGAAGATGCCCCAGAGCCGTTTTTTGGGGCGATGTCTGTGGATCCTAGACTTCCCAGCCCTTTTGATATTCCTCAGGTAGGGTTCGCTCCCTTAGAAGCCCTCAGAAATTGTGAGACAACAGCGTAGGAGGAGTTAGTTGCTGTCTCTGTCAATCTGGAGCTGAGATTTAGGAATGAAACACTGCCACCGGTTTCCATAACAGGACAGGGAGCAAGGGGATTGCTGGGTGCAAGCAGGCAGAGCCCCAGATCTTGCTTACTTAGGGCCAACCTGATAGGATGGTTTCCCCACCAGAGGTGTTTTTCCTTCTTTCCACCATCCCCACCATCGAGACCTCCTCTCCAGCTTCACCTGGGGATGCTAAGTTTCCTTCCCTGTCTTCTCCCACTTCCCACAGTGTAGACATCACTCCAGCCCCCATTTACCACCTAAGCAGCTGGTCCTGAATGCAGACAGCATAGTGTCCAGGCATCCTTGGTACCTGGATTTAGGGGTGCACATCCCCATTCTGGTCTTGGTA